GATGTTCAAAAATGTGCTTGATGAATGCACAGAAAGAAGGGAGGGGAAATAAATGGAGAGGGAGAAAGGGAATATGGGAAAAGAGGAAGTGTGGAGTCTGGCAGTTCCACCTGGAAAATACATGAGCTCTCAGACAGTAGGGCAGTGTCTTTATTCATACTATTTTTTTTAATTCATACTATTTTTGATGCAAACTCTAGCAATCCTTGGAAATTAAGATGACATGCCTAGGTAAGCTCACAAGTAAAAAAATTCAAAAGGAAAACAATAAGCATACATCAAAATATGTTCAGAGTTGAAAACTGATCAGCAAAGTCCTGAACGGCCCTCTATTAACTGGTACTAACTAGTACTAAAACTAGTACTTTTTGCAGAGTTCAGTGACCATTACAAATGACACCACCTGAATATTTCATAAAACAGGTCTTCCATTCTCGGGAATAAAACTCATCTACTGTATCAATACACATCAACACTTGTGATCAAAGAGTTAAGTGTTAGCTTGCGTAGACTCTTCCGGCCCCAGTAAATCCTTAACTCCCTTAGTAACGCATAAGATGAAGCCTGCCGTGGAAATCAGTGGCCCGAGCTCCTGCTCCGAATGTGACCTTGCAGCAGTCGCTAACTTCTGTGAGCCCCCTGCCGTCTGTTTAACAGCGATATCTACACGGCTGACCACAGGGTTGTGAGAATCACAGGACACATGCAAAAACGTGTTGGAAGTATGACGGTGAGCACGGTGACTCACGGTCAGATCACCGCCCAGGTCTTCTGAACCTGATCACAGCAGTTCAGGGGGTCATCCCACACCTACTGAGGCTGACGGCTTGAACCCTGGAATCTCCATTGGCGCGCCAGGCCGGCGGGCCCTAGAGGTCACGGAGAAACAGCATCTCCAGAAAAGAGAAACAGCAAAGCAGGGAACAAGAGCAGGGGGTGTGAGCGCGAGAGGAAGCCCAAGCAAGGAAGAGCTTTGAGGGACGCCTCCTGTTTCAACGTAATGCCATGAACGATTTCAAATCTTGACTTTTTGTTCACGTAAGTGGTGTGCGCGATCGGAATGAAGAACGGTGTACCAAGGACAGGAAGCGGCGTCACAAGAACAGGAGGCCAAGTCACAAGGACAGGAGGCCATGCCACAAGAACAGGAATTGGCGTCACAAGGACAGGAAGTCGCATCACAAGGACAGGAAGCGGCATCACAAGGACAGGAGGCCGCGTCACAAGGAGAGGAGGCCAGGGCACAAGGACAGGAATTGGCGTCACAAGAACAGGAAGTCGTGTCACAAGGACAGGAAGCGGCATCACAAGGACAGGAAGCGGTGTCACAAGGACAGGAATGGCCTCACAAGGACAGGAAAGGTGTCACAAGGACAGGAGGCTGTGTCAGAAGGACAGGAAGCGGCCTCACAAGGACAGGAGGCTGCGTCACAAGGACAGGAGGCCGCGTCACAAGGACAGGAGGCCGCACCACGAGGACAAGAATTGGCGTCACAAGGACAGGAGGCCGTGTCAGAAGGACAGGAAGCGGTGTCACAAGGACAGGAAGCGGCGTCACAAGGACAGGAAGCAGTGTCACAAGGACAGGAGGCTGTGTCAGAAGCACAGGAAGCAGCCTCACAAGGACAGGAAGCGGCGTCACAAGGACAAGAGGCCTGGTCACAAGGACAGGAAGCGGCGTCACAAGGCAGGAGGCCGCGTCAGAATGACAGGAAGTGGCGTCACAAAGACAGGAAGCCGCGTCACAAGGACAGGAGGCGGCCTCACAAGGACAGGAGGCCACGTCAGAAGGACAGGAAGCGGCGTCACAAGGACAGGAGGCCGTGTCAGAAGGACAGGAAGCGGCCTCACAAGGACATGAAGCGGTGTCAAAAGGACAGGAGGCCGTGTCACAAGGACAGGAGGCCGCGTCACAAGGACAGGAGGCTGCGTCACAAGGACAGGAGGCCAGGCACAAGGACAGGAAGCGGCCTCACAAGGACAGGAAGCGGCGTCACAAGGACAGGAAGCGGCGTCACAACTACAGGAGGCCGCATCACAAGGACAGGAGGTGGCCTCACAAGGACAGGAGGCCGTGTCAGAAGGACAGGAAGCGGCCTCACAAGGACAGGAAAAGGTGTCACAAGGACAGGAGGCTGCGTCACAAGGACAGGAGGCCAGGGACAAGGACAGGAAGCGGCCTCACAAGGACAGGAAGCGGCGTCACAAGGACAGGAGGCCTGGTCACAAGGACAGGAAGTGGCGTCACAAGGACAGGAGGCTGTGTCAGAAGCACAGGAAGCGGCCTCACAAGGACAGGAAGCGGCGTCACAAGGACAAGAGGCCTGGTCACAAGGACAGGAAGCGGCGTCACAAGGCAGGAGGCCGCGTCAGAATGACAGGAAGTGGCATCACAAAGACAGGAAGCCGCGTCACAAGGACAGGAGGCGGCCTCACAAGGACAGGAGGCCACGTCAGAAGGACAGGAAGCGGCGTCACAAGGACAGGAGGCCGTGTCACAAGGACAGGAAGCGGCAACACAAGGACAGGAAGCGGCGTCACAAGGACAGGAGGCCGCATCACAAGGACAGGAGGCGGCCACACAAAGACAGGAAGCGGTGTCACAAGGACAGGAGGCCGCGTCACAAGGACAGGAAGCGGCGTCACAAGGACAGGAGGCCGCGTCACAAGGACAGGAGGGCCTCACAAGGACAGGAGGCCGTGCAGAAGGACAGGAAGCGGCCTCACAAGGACAGGAGGCGCGTCACAAGGACAGGAGGTGGCCTCACAAGGACAGGAGGCCGTGTCAGAAGGACAGGAAGCGGCCTCACAAGGACAGGAGGCGCGTCACAAGGACAGGAGGCCGTGTCAGAATGACAGGAAGCGGCGTGACAAGGACAGGAAGCGGCGTCACAAGGACAGGAGGCGCGTCACAGCGCCAGCGCCCCCGACTCCCGTCCGCAGCCCCGGGGAGCCCGGGCTGTTTGCCGCGGGTCCAGAACCGGAAAAGCGCCGAGGACGTCGGTGATTCTGGCGTCACGTCAGACTCCCCCCAACCCAGCAGACAGGGGCTTGGGTGTGCGGCTGCTGAGCCGCGTGCCGAGAGCCGGGCGGCCCGTGGGCCCCAGGGCGGGGGCGGCGGGCGCGGAAGGGTCCGGGCGGCGCACGGTTGCTCAGCCCGGCGGGTGCCTCCGAGCCAAACGCGGCGCGCACAGCGGCTCAGGCCACGGCCTGAGAAGGCAGGTCCTGGGGCCTGGCAGCTCGCAGCTCGCAGCTCGCGGCGGACCTGGCACGCCTGCTCCTGCCCAGAGCTTGGCCCAGCGGAAAGTACAAGTGCCACAGAACAGCTTCCGGGGAGCTGCCAGCAAGGATGCACGATTGCGAAACAACTGCCTTGTGTTTGGGAGGCTCATTTCAAGGTTGCCAAACCGAGGTCATGTCTCTCCTACTGCAACTTGGATTTGGAAGGGAATCGGATTCATCTCATTTATTTGACTAAATAACTACCTGATTATTTGGCCAAATTTGATTATTTGGTTAAATTATGAATTTTTCAAATAATTTCCTACATTAAACCCTGTAGCCTCTTCCACTTAATTATCTACTGCCTGCCTCTCTCTAAACCTGTGCTTTACCCTCTCCCCCCTACTTTTCTACCAGGGAGTGTATATAACTGCATACTTTCAAAGCATGTTCTGAAATTTCTCTTCCTTGGCACTGCAGAGAATAAACACAAACCCGGCTTTCAGGTCTTTCCAAGTGATCTGTTAAGAAAGAATGGTTCAGGTAGGCTATGAGGAGGTATCTCTCTTTTTTTTTTAAGATTTTATTTATTTATTCATGAGAAACAGGGAGAAAGAGGCAGAGACATAGGCAGAGGGAGAAGCAAGCAGGCTCCTCACAGGGAGCCTGACTCGGGACTCGATCCCGGATTCTGGGATCCCACCCTGAGTCACAGGCAGACGCTCAACCCCTGAGCTACCCAGGCATCCCAATGAGGAGGTATTTCTTAATTCATTTAAGGCAAAACTTATTTGGGATGAGTAAAATGTGTTTTTAGTTCTTTTACTTCATGTGATTATCAAATACCCCTTTTATAATGTCACTACTTTTATTTAAGTCTCCATTTTTTAAAGCCTTTTTTTTTTTAACATTACCAACATGACAAATTCCAAGAGCTACTAAAGCACATCCACCCCTCTGGCCCAGGGCAAGGGTTGGTAGGCCGAGTGGTGACAAGCATGAGTGGTGGTTCCTTGCCTGGAGGTTGTTTCTTTTTTTATTTTTTTAATAATAAATTTATTTTTTATTGGTGTTCAATTTGCCAACATAGAGAATAACACCCAGTGCTCATCCCTTCAAGTGCCCCCCTCAGTGCCCGCCCCCCATTCACCCCCACCCCCCGCCCTCCTCCCCTTCCACCACCCCTAGTTCGTTTCCCAGAGTTAGGAGTCTTTATGTTCTGTGTCCCTTTCTGATATTTCCCACACATTTCTTCTCCTTTCCCTTATATTCCCTTTCACTATTATTCATATTCCCCAAATGAATGAGAACATACACTGTCCTTCTCCGATTGACTTACTTCACTCAGCATAATACCCTCCAGTTCCATCCACGTAGAAGCAAATGGTGGGTATTCATCCTTTCTGATGGCTGAGTAATATTCCATTGTATACATAGACCACATCATCTTTATCCATTCATCTTTCGATGGACACCGAGGCTCCTTCCACAGTTTGGCTATTGTGGACATTGCTGCTAGAAACATCGGGGTGCAGGTGTCCCGGCGTTTCATTGCATCTGTATCTTTGGGGTAAATCCCTAACAGTGCAATTGCTGGGTCATAGGGCAGGTCTATTTTTAACTCTTTGAGGAACCTCCACACAGTTTTCCAGAGTGGCTGCACCAGTTCACATTCCCACCAACAAGGCAAGAGGGTTCCCTTTTCTGGAGGTTGTTTCTATTCAAACATTGAACGTACTTGAAACGCATGGTAGCCAGAATTGACAATGCCACCAATCTGTGCTGATAAATGGATAAACTTTTATTTACCTATCAAAGGGAAAACCAATATTCACTTAAAGCTGCCTAACCCATATTTCCAATAGGAAAGGTGTTTAATTTACTATCCTCCTTTAAAAAGTCTCAAATAAAATATCACTAGAAAAATACATAAAGAATTCAGATTATAACACTGTCCAGGTAATTAACGGTCACAATAATACTGGGACTGCAGTTAAAAAAAGTGATTTTCCATAGTTTACTTGGAAGTACAGATAATCAACACCAAATCTATACATTAAGTTGTAATAGGCAATTGTAAGCAAACAGTATCAAACTCTGTGACTTTTAAAAATTAACCTGAAAAAATGAAGCATATAAAAATTGGTATTATTCTTCCAGTTCTCCCAAAAGCTCTACAAAATCAGTGATGTACCATTCTGCGTTGTCTTTTACTTGTTGTCTGATCACATTTCCTCCAAATCCAATGAAAACATCCTAAGAGAGTGAAAAAAGAAAAAAAAAGGAAAGACTTTTAAAAAGAAGAAAAGGAGGAGGACAAGGAGGAGGAAGGGGAGGGGGAGGAAACAGCAGCACCCTGGGACAGTAAGAGTTGTTTGAAAAAAGAAACTGTGTTAAGAGAAGTGGAGCCCAGCCTGGATGGGAAGCCTCCTCAGCGCCCTGGGAGCCTCCCTGTCTCCAGTGTCCCAAGCATGAATGAGTCCATGCACTGCACCCCATCCAGGCCAGCGGACACTGCAAGCTTCATGGAGAAGTTAAGCCCTCTTAAAACCAATACAACTGTTTAGAAAGATAAAATCACATCAGGTGGCAACCATCTGAGTTCTACACTGGAGGCAGCTACAGCCAAGCCAGGCAATCTTGAAGAGGGCAGGTCGAAGAGAAGCCTGGGGTACAGCTGAGGGCCCCTGGGGCCTCGACCAGGACCAGAGCAGGCACTTCCTGACAGGCACCCTGTGTGAACCCAATGGTCCTCCCTCCCAGGGCGTGGATTGTCCTGGGCTGAAGGAGACGACAGCCCATGGTCTGTCTGCTGGCTGCCCCGTACTTTCCATCATCAAGATTATTTAAGGTTTCAACTACATGACTTTGTTTCCTTAATTTCTACCAAGTGATACCTTCCTGTTGTCAGTGATCTTTTAAAATGTTTTTTTCTCTTTTTCTGCCAGGATATAGGCACAACAGACATAATTTGGAAATTCAAAATTCTTTTACTTGCATCTTCACTTTTTTTTCAGACCACACAAGGTGGGGCGGGGGGGGGGGGCTGGGCAAAAGTAATGAGATTCTTACCTTCCAGTTAAATTTAGCCCCCTCACTGAGCTTCCTGCCGTGTGGCAGCCCTTTCTGCATGCCAGCCCCAGCTTGGCTGTCCTGACACACTGACTCATTCCTTCTCTGTCCAGAAGCCTCCCAGGGCTTCCCAGGACCTGAGGGCAACACCAAAGTGCCTGATGCGTCAAGTCTTCCACAGCTGCTGAAGAGAAAGCCTGTATATGCGGCTCCTGCCAGCTGACCGCCCACGTCTGTGCCTAGGACACTGTTCTCTGCTGCCTCCCTGCCTCTGGACACTTCCTCGGTCCGGCCAGGGCTTCAGGTGATGGCGGCCAACCCTCCACCTCTGAGGGCTTCACACAGCATGTGCACCCTCGCTCTTGGTTCAGTCGGGCCACGTCACCCTCTGATGACTGGCAGGGGGTCCTCTGGAATGTCTGATTTTGTCATTTCTCGATGTCAGGATTAGGAGCTCCCTGATGGAACTCTGTACCCTTTACTTCTACACACTCCTCCCTAAACCAGCCCAGCATCTATGACTTAGTCAACCCCATGGTGGCTGTGAATCCTCTAAAGATGTCTCATCTTGAATTGACTCAAGTCAGCTAAAAGGATCCAAAGATTCTTTAACCCCTTTGGGTTAATCATTCAGAGAAAACTATTTTTAGATTTCAGGAAAGTAGGTAATAAAAAGTTCACCACTATATTTGGTATAGGCTTTCGTCATTTAGAATGACACAATAAGGGCAAAGTCCTACATGAAAGGGACACACAGGATATTCAGGACACGTGCTATCCAGTATGTGTTTCCTGCTAGTTTCAGAAAACAGCATTTATTCAGAAGAATAAAATGCTTTATTTATTTTTTTAAAGATTTTATTTATTTATTCATGAGAGACTCAGAGACAGAGGCAGAGACACAGGCAGAGGGAGAAGCAGGCTCCCTGCAGGGAGCCCGACATGGGACTTGATCCCAGGACCTCAGGATCATGCCTTGAGCCAAAGACAGGAGCTCAACCACTGAGCCACCAGGCATCCCAGAATAAAATAGTTTAACACAGGTACATTATTAAACCTCTATGAGCCTCAGTTCCCTAATCAGTAAAAAGGAGAGGGTAATGTATGAAGAAATAGTGTATCAAATATAAAGAGACATTAACATTTTGGTTACAGTATTAAGGGCTGTATTATTATCTGTGGAATTATTGGGGGAGATGAAGCCAAACCTGAAGCCAACACTTGGGCCAAGAGGTAGCAGCCATGTTGCAAGAACAGGGTCGTTAAGTTCTAAAAGGTTTTCTTCCTTAGATTTGCAAGAAGTCAGCTGATATATTGATATTGAGTTGTTTCATTTGTTTTGGTTTGTTACCATGATACCTAGTATGTTCTTATTTTCCTCTCACCAATCTTATGGATTTCTTACTCAGCCATCTAAAACAAAAATACAACCAGAAAAAAACTAGCACACTTGATACATACAGCAGGAGGGCAGGCTTCCATGTCTGTGGCTCCATCTCCAATCATGACTATTTTCTTAAATTGAAACTTTTCCTTTAAAAGCTTAATAACTTTTCCTTTCCCACCAGATTCAGCTGTTGGCTGCATCTCATCAAAACCTGCATATTCACCTTAAAAGAGCAGTTAAAACAGTGTCAGCGAAATAAATAAATAAATAAAACTCATCACAATCACAAAAAACAAACAAAACAAAACAAAAACAGTGTCAGTGATCGCAGAATTATATCAGTAGGGCCAGCTTTGTGCACAGATGATACCCTCCCTTAAATGTCACCAAGAAGGCTAAAAATGGCCTCAGTAAAGTGACACAGCCTGGACTCCCACACCTATTCCTCCGCATAACAAGCATGGCTTTATAAAGGCAGGCACCTCTCTCTGCGTTTGCTCCTTTAGGTCATAAACACCATGAGGCCGATCAGTTTTGTCCTCTAAGCTGTCACAGTCGTAGTTCTCAAGCCTGCTGCTGAGCCAGAACACCATGAAACAATAACACACTAAAGGTTTTTAAAAAGTTACTATATTATTTCATCTAGGAGGAGATTCCAACTTACATGTGATCGATTTTCTTTCTTACAGCAATTACCACACTCACTCTCTACATTTTTTTATGAGCCCTGCAGACCCTTCAAAAATGTTCTGTCAACACATTTAAAATGTTTTAAATTAATATTTAGTTTTAAGGATGTCAGCCACCCCTTGCCATAACTAGAGACCTCCTGAGATGGTAGTAAAACAGCTGCAGCTCTGCAACGATCCAGAGAGGGGCCAGGGGCGCTTCAAAGGCAGTGACTTGCTGCTAACAACCTCTCCTTCCTGAGCCTAAACTGGTTGAAATACCTAAGAACTCTCAAAAAACTGAAATATGACATGTAACAAAAATGAGTCACCTGGGTACCCAGGAATCAAGTACAGACATTTATATACAGAGAGGGATTATATGGACACTAAAACCAGGAGAGATGATGGCCTAAGTCTATTTTACAGAGCAAAGCATACCAAGGAGCAAAAGACATCGGTCAAGAGAATCCTTCATCTCAAACAAAACAAAACAAAACAAAACAAAACAAAACAAAACAAAACAAAAACTAGAGGGTATTACGCTAAGCAAAATAAGTCAATCACAGAAAGACAACTATCATATGATCTCAGTCATATGTGGAATTTAAGAAACAAAGCAGAGGATCATAGGGGAAGGGTGGAAAACTAAAACAAGACAAAATCAGAGACAAACCATAAGAGATTCTCAACTCTAGGAAACAAACTGGGGGTTCCTTGAGGGGAGATGGGGAGGTGTAACTAGGTGATGGGCATTAAGGAGGGCACTTGATGTTATAAGCACTGGGTGTTTGGGTAACTGATGAATCACTGAACTCTACCCCTGAAACTAACAATATACTATATATTAATTAACTGAATTTAAATAAAATAACATAAATTAAATTAAATTTAAAAAGAGAGAATCCTTCATCTCAATATTTAACTCTGAGGCTGCCATGCTTCAGTTGCATTCCAACACACATTACATCATTTATTGAACACTAAAACTGACCAGAAAGGGAAAATGATACCATTAAAGTCTTACCATTAAAGTAAAACTTCAGCCTATTGGCAAATACATTGGTTGATGGGATATTTAGCTTTGAAGCAACGTGCTCTACAATGCTCCTAAAGCCACCAGATATTAGGAAAACCTGAACATTTCGCTCTTGCAGGTGACTTACTAGCTCCCTGCAAAAAAAGAAATATAAAACACCAAAACACTGATTAATATAAAAGAAAAACATGAAATGTGAAAAGTAAAATACATTTTTTCCCCTGGAAGCATTTGCCCAAATACATTGGACAAGGTATTATTGCCTGGTTAATCATGTTGTATGTGTGTTTTTCAAAATGCACTTAGAAATTAATAGGTGGGGCTGGATTGCTTAGGAAACCATCCCACAACTATATTCTGCCCATGAACCTAGAAACACAAAATGAAGAGGAAGGTTGGGCTCTCCGTAGGGAGTAGGGGGGAAGGGAGAAGGGCAGATGACTTGGGCGGGGCCAACCAGTCTGACAGGACCACAGGGAAGAGCTCAAAGAAGCAGGCAGAAGGGGCTGTTAGAGCAATGGTGAGATACTCTTCAGAGGATGTGCCCCAAAACAGGTGCTGACAGACAGACAGCACCCAGACCCGGGCTCCTCTTACCTTATGCCAGGGGTCAGGTGTGGGGGGTGCTCTGCTATGAGCCTTTGCACCTGTTCCCTGGAGGGCTGGATCAGAGCTAAGCGCTCTGTGAGAGCAGCCTTGAAAGGCACTGCTCCACCCATGGCTCGCCGCGTCCTAGGAGGAAGACCCAACAATCAGGCTAGCCTCGTCAGATGACGAGGGTTCACAGGCCTTACCTCCCCAGCTCCCCCCACATTCGCCCACAAGGAAGATGCTACCCAGAGCCCCACCATACCGCAGACATGCTACAATGCCATGGGACTGAGGCCTGGGAATAAACTTCCTGCAAGTTTGCTTGAGAATCATATTAGTATTTTGTGGCCATGTCTTGTATCAAATGCAGCTGAACATGAAATGGTCAGAAACTGAGAGCCTGAACCAAAACTAGTCATGTCACAGAGCACTGGGTGCTTAACGATCCCCTACCCCGTCATTCTTCTTTGGTTGGTTATGGTCATCGTTTCTCTGACCATACTAAGAGCATGTCATCCATTTTTATTTGTCAGAGGCAGCTATTTTTTTTTTGCCATGAGAATTTGCATAAATGGATGACAGGATGATGTACACTACCCAACTCGGCTCAAAGTGATAAAAGAAGCTTACTGCCCATGATCGGCAGTCAGGGACTAAAAATAGGGGAATTATGGTCCTGTCTGTCATCCAAATGTCACTCTTTTGCAATTCTTTCTCATTTCATAAAGTGACTAAATACTGTTCCTACATTTCTGACACAGCATCCTCAACTCCACAGAATTTGGCTAGCTCATCAATTCCTTCTTCTCTGATGACTGTGCTATCAACATCAAAGCACACTGCGTCAGCTGAACAGAAAAGCTTCCTCAATTCTGAATGGGAGACCATCCTTGAAAGAATCTTCCTCCTATGACAAGAAAAGATAAATATATTTAAAGACCCATCATCACAAGAAGATCCAATTTTGCCTACTAATGCCAATATACTTTGATTCATATCAAAGTCAAGCATATCCCACATACACATGGACTCAAGGATTTATTCATTTTTTTAAATTTTTTTTTAATTTTTATTTATTTATGATAGTCACAGGGAGAGAGAGAGAGAGAGAGAGAGGCAGAGACACAGGCAGAGGGAGAAGCAGGCTCCATGCACCGGGAGCCCGATGTGGGATTCAATCCCGGGTCTCCAGGATCGCGCCCTGGGCCAAAGGCAGGCGCCAAACCGCTGCGCCACCCAGGGATCCCCGATTTATTCATTTTTTAACAAAAAGTAAGCATCTTCTAAATGTCAGGCTCTGGGGAGACAAAGATGAGGTGGGCCAAACTCTTCTCCCAGGAATCACTCTAATGAAGGTACTAGCTTATAAATGTATCTGATGTTCAACCAATATTCAACTATTTTTGACCTAATAATAATAGCAATAAGGCAGGTGCTGAAGTGGAAATGTGCCTAAGATACTATGGGCACAGAGAGAAAATGCTTAAGCTTGCCCTGAAACAGGGCTTCCCAAGGACGGTCATTCGAACTGAACCTTGAAGGGGTAAAAAATAAAAATTAAAAAAAAAAAATGAATCTTGAAGGGTTAAGTGGCCTGAGTGGGTTCTCAAACAGCAGCGTATCAGTTGGGCATGTGCAGGGAGGAGAGAGCAGGGAGGTGGAGGCAAGAAGAGAGGGCCATGATGCAGAGAGGAGGGTGTGGCAGAGGCAAGGAGCAGAAGGGTGGATGAGATCCTGGGAGCTGCCCCACGGAGTCCAGCTGCCAGGCGGTGCACCAAGGGGGTTCTGGGCCAGGCTGAGGAGTTTGGATCATACCATCCAGGTAATAGGAAACCTTGAAAGGCTTTTTGCTGTGGAAGAGAGGTCAGAGCTTGAACCGCACCTGAACCGCACATGGATTAGTCACCAATACAGAGGCCATAATTGAGGGTATGGCCTGACGAAAGTCAGCACAGTGGAGAGAGCAGGGAAAGAAGAGGGCTAAGGGCAGAGCCTGCAGAAATGGAAAGGGTCAGCTCAGGGGCCTGGGAAGGAAACGGAAGAGGAGGTCAGGCTCACAGGAAGGGACTGGAGACCACAGTGCTGAAGAAGCTTAAAAAAAAAAAAAGGAATTTTCAAAATCTTATATTTTTATTTTATTTATTTATTTGAGAGAGAGAGCATGAGCTAGGAGAGGGGCAGAGAGAAAGGGAGAAGCAGGCTTCCTGTGGAGCAGGTACCTCGACGTGGGGCTCCATCCCGGGACCTGAGAATCATGCCCTGAGCCGAAGGCAGACACTTCACTGAGGGAGCCACCCAGGTGCCCCCAAGAGTTTTGTGTTTTTTAAGCAAATCACTGGACTAGAATATTAGGGGTAAATGGGATCCTAAAAATTGCCTACACCTCTCATCAAATATGTCATGTACGAGGCCACACAGATGATGCAAATAATCTATATTTAGAACAGATGCTGGTTGGGACGCCTGGGTGGCTCAGCGGTTGAGCCACCTTTGGCTTTGGCTTGGGGCGTGGTCCCAGAGTCCCTGGATCGAGTCCCTGGATCGAGTCCCACTTCGGGCTCCCTGCATGGAGCCTGCTTCTCCCTCTGCCTGTGTCTCTGCCTCTCTCTCTGTGTCTCTCATGAATAAATAAGTAAAATCTTGAAAGAAAGAAAGAGAAAGGAAGAAAGAAAGAAAGAAAGAAAGAAAGAAAGAAAGAAAGAAAGAAAGAAAGAAAAAAGGAAAGGAAGAAAGAAAGAGAAAAGAACAGATGCCGGCTAAAAACAGACTCAAAGGAGCTGGCCAACCTGCTTCCTAACTGATTTCTAACCTTGCGTCTGGCAGAATGATCCAAGCGAAAGTTGACCTGAGGAGAAAAAACCATTTTACAGCAGGGCTGGCAAACTATAGCCAGTAGGCAAATCAACTACAACCTGTTTTTTTGTTTGTTTGTTTGTTTTTTAATTATTTATTTATGATAGTCACACACAGAGAGAGAGAGGCAGAGACAAGGCAGAGACACAGGCAGAGGGAGAAGCAGGCTCCACGCACCGGGAGCCCGACGTGGGATTCGATCCCGGGTCTCCAGGATCGCGCCCTGGGCCAAAGGCAGGCGCCAAACTGCTGCGCCACCCAGGGATCCCCTACAACCTGTTTTTGTACAGCCTGTGAAGTAAGACTAATTTTCACAATTCATTTATTTTATTTATTTATTAAAGATTTTTTATTTATTCCTTTTTTTTTTTAGATTTATTTATTTATCCAGAGAGAGAGAGGCAGAAACACAGGCAGAGGGAGAAACAGGCTCCATGCAGGAAGCCTGATGCGGGACTCGATCCCGGGTCCCCAGGATCACACCCCGGGCTGCAGGCGGCACTAAACCGCTGCGCCACTGGGTCTCCCTTATTTATTCCTTTGAGAGAGAGAGAGCACAGAGGGAGAGGCAGAGGGAAAGGGAGAAGCAGACTCTCCACTGAGCTAGGAGCCCAACTCAGAGCTTGATCCTAGGACCTAAAGATCATGACCTAAGCCAAGGCAGATGCTTAATCATCTGAGCCACCCAGGCACCCCTTTATTTTCTTTTTTTCAAGTAGGCACCATACCCAGCACAGAGCCCAACACGGGGCTTGAACTCACAACCCTGAGATCAAGACCTGAGGTGAGATCACCAACTGAGCCACCTAGGCACCTCTGTATTTTAAGTAACTGTGAAAAAAATCAATAGAATAAAACTCTGTGACACACAAAACCTATGAATTTCAAAATCCAGTGTCCATAAGTAGAGTTTCAGCAGAACACAGCCACGCTCACCGGTTTATGCATCCAGAGCTGCCTTCACACAACAGAGAGGGAAGGAGCTGCAACAGAGACTGAGGCCCCCACAGCCTAAAATATTCACCATCTGGCCCTTGACAGAAAAATTGCTGACCCTTGTTTGGAACCCTTACAAAAGAGTGCTTCAAATGGGAAACAGGAGTTTCACTGGAGACCCACAAAAACAGGGAAAAAGGAGGCAAATTAATGCATCCAGTAAGGTAACAGAGTATTAAACTCTAACATCAGCCTCAATGTGAATGAAGTTTCTATTAAGCAGAAAACTACTAAAAATACAAGAATACAAGAGTGGCAGAGACAGTCAAGCAGCTCAGGTCATGATCTGGGGGTCCTAGGATCCAGTCTCACATCGGCTCTGCTCTCAGCAGTGTCTGTCTGCCCTTCCCCCTCCCCCCCTCTCAAATAAATAAATCTTTTAAAAAATACATGAATACAAAATACATATTCTACTAATTATCTATAATCGCTTTCCACCCCTGTCATGCTCCTGTTAAAGCCAATCCCTCACCTCAGAGGAACGACTTCCCAGGTTCACACATCATCCCCTCTTAGCGACTGAGCTCCTTTGCTGATTGCTTCTCTGAATGTTGCAGTGACCCACGGTCCACCCCTGGTCTCCTCTGACCATACCCACCCCCTCAATGGAGCCATACAGGCTCGGGGCTTTACATGTCACCTCTATGACAGTGACCCCCAACACAGACCTGGAACCCAGTCCTGTCTCCCAAACTCTCAACTCCAACCACCGACCTGACCTCACTCGGGTATCTGATAAACATCCCAAACTACACATGCCTAAAACTGTACTCCTGATCTTCTTGCCCCCAAACTGCCATCTTGCGCCTTCCTTCTCTCCCTCGACAGTCCGTACCCAAAACAATCATCCAGGAAACTGTGTTGCTTCCACCTTTAAAATCCAAGCACAATCTGACCACTTCTCCACTTCTCACCCCATGCATGTCTATCCCTCTAGCCTGAGTTGCCAAAGTTTCTTGCCAAGACTGTACCAACAGCCTCCTAAAAGCCCCCCCGCCAGTTTCTGTTCTCAACATAACCGACAAAGTAATCATTGTAAGCTACTAAACAAATCACGTCACACTTCTAGTTCAAAATCCTTCAACAGCTCCTCATTTTATTAAGAGTAAACGCCAAAGCTTTTACAACTACCTCTAAGGTCTGCCCCTCCCCTGGTACCACCACCACCACCACGCCCTCCCCATTACCTCTCTGATCTCATTTCCTACTTGTGTCCCCCTGCTCACTCTGCTCCAGCCACACTGGTCTTCCTGCTGCTCTAGAAATGCACTGAGCCAAATCCCCACTCAGGGCCTTCGCTCCAGCTGTGCCCCTGGTGGGAATGCTCTTCACTTAGACACCCACTTGGCCAAATCCCTTATCAGGAGTTTGCCCAAATAATACTAGGTGTCAACTATACTTCAATTTAAAAAAACAATGAATTTTTTAAAAAAGGGGTTGGCCCAAGTATCACCTTCTTCCATGAGCCAGCCCTGACCACCCTGTTTATCACTGCAACCTCTCCCTCCTTATCCTTAACCCAACCTTACTAATATCCCTATGTCTTTTTCTTTTTTCTGTAACATCTATCATCTTCTTTTTTTTTAATTTTTATTTATTTATGATAGTCACAGAGAGAGAGAGAGAGAGAGAGAGAGAGAGAGAGAGAGAGAGGCAGAGACACAGGCAGAGGGAGAAGCAGGCTCCATGCACCGGGAGCCCGACGCGGGACTTGATCCTGGGTCTCCAGGATCACGCCCTGGGCCAAAGGCAGGCGCTAAACCACTGCGCCACCCAGGGATCCCCATCTATCATCTTCTAACATACGATAAATGATACTCATTATGTTTACCAAGTATTGTCCGTCTGTCCTCATTTTATAAGCTTTGTTCACTGCTGGATCCTTAGGACTAAGAACAGTAGCAGGCACATAGCTTAATAAGATTTGTTGAGTAAGTGAATGAATAAAGCTCAAATGCCATCTTCACTACCAAGTCTTCCCTGATTCCCTGGGGCTGAAAAAAATTTCTCCCCAGAACTTCCATAGTACTTCATGTAGACCTGTTTTCAATATATGAA